GAGATTATTTTAGGTAATGACGAGGGCGGTAATTGTAGATAACGGCCTGTCTCTGAAAAACGGAAACAAAGCGGTGGGGATTCTCAATCCTCTTGAGCTAGAAAAAGACTTTGCCTCAAGGGTATTGGAAACACTAGCCTCTTTCAACATCATCATGAAAGAAAGAAAGGAACTCATTTTGGGACATTAAAAATTAAAGTCTTAAATTTTAAATTTAATTCTTATTCAGGTAGGATTTGATTTCTCGCCTATCCCTCTGTCCTTATGCCATATTACATCCATTCTTTGTTGCCCCTGCAGGCGCAAGAAAAATCATGCTTTGCTTTAGTCTTCTTGTTTTTCAGATTCTTACAGAATAGGGATGGCCAACAAGACCCCAGTTTCCGCACTTTCCGAAACGGTAACTCGTGAATATACCATACATCTGCACAAACACGTCCATGGACAAAGCTTCAAGAAGCGCGCGCCAACCGCCATAAAAGCAGTGAAGGCCTTTGCTGTGAAGCACATGGGCACGAAAGACGTGCGCCTTGATCCCAAGCTAAACAAAGCTCTTTGGGAGAAAGGCATTCGTAATGTGCCCCATCGTGTCCGCGTTCGCCTTGCCCGCCGTCGCAATGATGATGAAAAGGCTACTGAGAAGCTGTACACTCAAGTAACATATGTTCCTGTTGCCTCCTTCAAAGGTACAATATCAACTTGCTTTTTCTTTAGGTCTGCAAACTGAAAGTATTGAGGAATAAATATCAAAGTCTTGTTGTTTATTTAACGCCCAATAAATTCAGCGAAATCCAATTTGTGCTGTGGTGGCAATGTTGGTTAGGTAGCGTTAATATGGTGCGCGCAAGCTTGTTCGGTGACCATAGATATGATTTTAAAGTTAATTTTTAATTGTTTGCGTGTCTCGTAGCAATTTGGGCTTGCTCAGTAGACCATCAAATTTTTATTGTAGTTGATTTCTGTGTTGTACGATTTTCAATTCTGCATATTTCGGGTTTTTAGTAAAAATTTAAATAATGCCCCCTCTTACGAGAACACAATCCACAAAGTCAATTGCAAATATCGAAAATGATTATCCCTCCAATACGGATTCCTCCAAGAGCTCCCTTGCACCGGTAGCTCCAACCAGCAATCCGAACGGTGCATCTTCTTCGTTTTTAGAAAAGAACGCCACCTCTACAGAACGTTCGGTTCTTTCAGATCTTTCCAACAATCAGTCTAGGAGATCTAAAATTGTAAGTGCATTTTAATTTGTAGATTTATTCCGCCTTCATCACATTTAATGCCGTTTTCTTACTCGTTTAGAATAACTTTTACGAAAGACCATCGATAACCGTTCCTTTTTCGGTTTGTGAAAGTCCTCAAAATGCTCAAATCGATGAGTATGACGCCGACGACGCTGGCGACCCTACCATGGCGCCGGAGTATGTCTCCGAAATATATCGCTATCTAAAATCAATTGAGGTTCGATCCCATCAATCGGCTTATTTTGTAGATTAAAAACATGCCGGATCCCAATTACATTTCATTCCAAACAGAAGTAACATGGGCAATGCGATCGGTCCTGGTTGACTGGCTCGTTGAAATCAACATGAAGCTCAAATTGCTTCCCGAGACGCTTTTCCTGGCCGTCTACCTGACAGATCGATTCTTGTCCATAAGAACGGTGTCGGTGACAAAGTTGCAGCTGGTGGGGATTACGGCAACCCTGATAGCCTCAAAATATGAAGAGATTCTTTCACCCTCGATTTCAAATTTTGTTTATCTTTCCGATAATACTTTTGACGATCAGGAAATACTGAAGGCCGAAGTGTACATGCTCAACTCGCTCCAATTCAACCTTTCCTATCCCAATCCATACATGTTTCTTCGAAGGATCTCCAAAGTTTCCAAATCGGCTTGCTAATCTTTTAGGGGGACAATTATGATATTCAAACGAGAACTTTGGCAAAGTATTTTTTAGAATCGTCCTTGCTTGAGCATTCGTTTCTCTCATACCCCCCTTCTATATTGGCGGCGTCAGCAATGTATTTGGCAAGAAAAATGATCTTTCCAAAGACGGACTGGGTATTCTTTGACTTTTTATTCGTTTGCTAGAACCAAAGAATGTCATTTTTCTCGGGATATTCAGAGCCACAACTAATGCCTTGTGCTAAAAGCTATATTTCATTTTTCCAAAGGCCCCTCGCCCATGAAACCGTATTCAAAAAGTTCTCATCCAGAAGATTGCTCAAAGCAAGCATCTTTGTGCGCGATTATATGGTCAAGCTGCAAGGACAGACATCCAGCACTACGCCTGCTCAATGAAGACATTGTGCGTTCACTTGGCAAAGCCGATATTGCCTGTAAAATTAATAAAAACATCAAATCTAGCGTCGCTTGTGCCCTTGCTCCCAAAGGAGGCCTCCGTTGAAAGCTTTTGTCGATCTGCTGCACTGCACCGTTAAATTTAGATGTTTATTGGACAGTTAAATAAAGTCATCAAGCTTGATCAGCAAAGCTGAGGGGAAAAAATCGGTGTGAGAATATAGCTCCTCTAACAATATGGCCGTGTGTCGCACGGCCATTTCGAGATTTGAAAATAGCTTCTCTCCAGAATATAACACCAGCCTTTTCAAAATCGATTCCGAAAGCGCGCTTCTATTTTCCTCTTTTAGTAACTTTTCAAGCTCATATGGCAACTCGGACCGAGATAGTCTTTCTATGTACAGAAACAGCGAGAACAGCGATCGTAAAATGGCCTTTTTTTCGGAGCTCAGTTTGTAAAAGCAGTATACATCGGCAATTGATTGGGCGGCACATAAAAGCGGCGACAGCTCGACGAATGGCAACAAACATTGTGGCCGGGGATGTTCAAAGTATTCCCGAGCCAGCTCGATGAAATGCTGACACTTGATGTCAAACAAGATATCTGGGCACGACGAAAGAAAGCCCGAAATGCCATTCAAAATGTTGAGAGATTCGGTGATTTTCCCCGAATTTATCAGCACCGACAGCGACTGTCTTTGCTGCATTTGATGTGCAATGGGCATGGAGAATGAAATCAAATCCGTATTCTTTTGGTCTCTGCTTTTGTACGATTTGGCAAACGACGACAGCGATAATGCATGCCTAGCATGGACAAGAAACTCGGAAAAGAATTCCGGAATGTGTTTGCAAAGAAAGGGAAGCTCGCCCGCTCTTATGTGGTCCATTAACAACTCTTTCCTATCCTAAACAAAGTTACTGATGGCGGCACTGATACTTGGACAAATCCGGAAATGTCAAACGCAAATGGACTGGTTCCAAAATTAGTGGTAATGCTGTCTCCAGGCACTCTCATGCCGACGGTTGGGTAGTATGCACTGACGCTAAGTAAAATCACACTTACCAATCCCAGTTGATAGTAAAAGCAATTGGAAGCAAAATTCCATTTTTAGTAAACCTCAAAGTTGCTGATGGCACAATGCTTTCCTCCTTTTTTGTGCCTGAAAAGACAACCAGGGCTCCAACGGTATCGCCAGGAGCTCCAAAGGTGGGGCCATATGGGGTTCCAAGCCCAGCAGACCCAAATACATGGCCATCATCGCCGTGATATCCATAGGAGCCTGTTTCCCAGCCAGGAAATCTATTTAAAGGCCCATCGGCAGCAGAAAACCCGATCGCAACGGGGGACGCCGAGGATGAGGAGACAACAATAGAAAGCTCCCAATAGAAGATCGAATGTGATGGATCTACCGGCATTACCGTCCGCATGCACGCAGACTCTGGCCGAGAATCGCTTGAAAAGGTAATTGTGTCTGTATTTTTAAGCTCAAGGCGAGATGAGGAATCCTTTACATTCCATTCCATAAACCTATTGGGTATATGTCGGGCCGGGCGAACGGGTTTTGACAGCAATGCCGAATATAAAGGCTGGGTTTTAATGGGCGGATGCATCGAAATAACGATGGGAGGCCGCCATTTTTGAGCTTAAAACCATTTTACGTTGGCAGGGAATCCCCAATCAAAATTTGCCAAAATATTTGATTGGCAATAAATCAAAAATTAAAATTCTTAATGGACCAAAAGCACGCAACGGCACAACAGCGGCAAATCAAGGGGCTTTTAAATCGGCTTTCTGATATGAACTTTTGCTCCACAATCGCCTCATTTGAGGAGTTGTATTTGCAGCATCATGGGCAAAATCTTACTAGCAACATATCGGAACAGATTATAAAGGCCTTGATCGAAACACCAAATGTATTGGATAGGTTTATCCTTCAATATTCGACTCTTGTGGTAGCGCTTTCATCGATAGAAACGATAGATGCGGAATTTGGCATCTATTTCCTAGCAGCTTTGGTGGATCGACTCAAACGCTTCTCCAATGTCAAGGCAACTTGCGTGACTTTTTCAAAAATGCTAGCTTTTTTATATGTCCTTCGATTGGTGCCAGAATCTCTTATTGTCGAAGTTTGCGAGTCGCTTTTATGTCCAGACCCGTTCATCAACATGGAGGACGGAATTAAAGTAGAAGTTGTGCTTGTCCTTATAAAGGGTTGTGATTGGTTATCGTAACTGTTAGTTGCCGGTGCTGCGCTTCGTCAAGAAGCTCCTGAGGCGCTCAAGTCCATAATTTCGGCTGTGGGGACACTGTCCATCCAGGGGTACGTATATACAGTTTTGATTGCCTAGATCTCGGTTCAAATTTATGCTTGAAGCACTTGATGACTTGAAGAATAACAAAAAGAAAATAATTAAAGGAAGCCCAACGGTGCTGGACTCTTGGAAAAAGATTCTTCTAGAAGCATTGAAGCAAAAGGGAATATTCAAGCTGCAAGATCCTCTCGCAATCGTGCCTCGTGAGTTTCTTTATAATACATGGCCGGCTAACCTTAAATCCCCTGCGCATGGCAATGGACAGTCAATACCAACAGAAGAAAATGGAAAAAATGCTAAAGCAGAGCCAAAGGAAAAATCTCTTGCATCTGCTTTACGGATAAATACGCTATTGAGAAGGCAAATTTTGGATGCAATATCAAGCTCTTCTGACATTCTCGATGCAATCGAAAAGCTGGATATTTTCAAGTCATCCAAGGAGAGGAGAGAAATTCCATCCATTATTTTGCTTTGTGTAAAGAAGGAAAAATCGTACAATCCATTCTATGCGCTCCTTTCTTCTACGCTTATTCAGCGAGTAGATGGCATTGATGCTACAATTACTTTTATGTATGCACTTTGGGACTTTTCTAGGTCCCTTTCGGGAAAAGTTTCCATCAGGGAAATTTTAAATGCAGCATCGTTTTATGCCGATCTTCTGGGGAAATCTTCCCTATCATTTTGTGCCCTCAAGGTAAGTGGGATTGTTTGCGCTTACTTTAGGGAATTGAATGGCACGAGCTGCTAAGCAACGAGAAGCTTGCGCTTTTCCTATCTATTATGTTTGTACGTATTTTCAAGGAGAAATCGCCTTCGGAGATCAAAGATTTGTTTCTGATGCCCGTTCTTCATAAAAAGCAAAAATCTTCGGTCCAGTCTGCACAGCCAACAACACCTCCTTCCGTTGTTGAGGGGCTTGAGCTCTTGTTTGCGCAATTGAGGGGATCCATATTAGAAAAGATGGGCGAGACCCCTGAATCAAGCGCCGTTGTCAAATCGTCGATTTCGTTTTGCGTCGAGGAAATATTTCCACTAATTTATAAAAGGAGCTAAATTGAACTTTTTATTTAGAAGTCAGCATCCTACTCATCAGACGCCACTCAAATGCTTCATATGAATAGCTCGGCTTATTGGGCTTTTTCTCCCTAATGTAGGCATGCGCTGAAGCAGTAGGGCAGTCAACAGCGAACAATAAATTTTTTATGACCGCTGTATGGCCCAACAATTGGAGCTCATCACTAACGAACGTTTTCAGTCGCAGAATTAGAGGCGCGAATTCGTCAAGAACGCAAAGTCTAACAAAGAAGACATCGATGATCAGGGAAATAAACTCGACAGCATATACATTCACGCCCAACTCAAGAAGCTCGTTCAGGAGGGAGAAAATAAACGAATTAGAGACCGGGATTGGAGGGTGCATTAGCGTATTTCTTATTGATTCATGGGGAGGAAGTTGCGGGAGCAGGGTTTCAAGTATCACTCGTATGGCGATGCCAGATGCCTCTTTCGGAAATCTAATGTCCGAGAACACAGGATCTGCGATCGAAAGACATTTAAGCATTTCGGTCATTTTGGTATTTCCGCCATCAAGCAGAAAAACCAGCAATCTTACAAAGTCTGACGAGGAAAGTAGCCCATTTTTCCCCATCGTAAGGCCTGTATTTATGGCTTGAAACTAGACGCATGAGAGAATAAGCTTACTGTCATTTGATTGGAAATAAACCGTTGGATCATGTTGGAATAGTCGCATGCACTATCTTTGACCGTTTCGCTCAATATGCTGGCCTTCCATCCTTCCCCCTCCGTCTTGTCAAAATACTGATAGAGTTCCACGCAAGAATCCATAGCTGTACTTTTGGGGGGTTCTTGCTTGATCGGTAAATCTGCGGTCTTTGAATGGCCTTGGGCTACGCCCTTGCTCTGGGCTGGCCTTTTCCTTTTAGCCATGAAGATATGGGATTTTTAGAGGGTGGTCGGCTCGGGGATGTAAAAATATTAAATTTTTTTACAATTTTTTAAACAAGGCAAATTATCGGGTTAGCACCAGGGTTAGGGTTTGAGGACTGGTAATTCAGATTTAAAATATGGGACCTGGACCGTAAATTTTAGGTGCATTCAAATGGTGGACACTGAATGTCGCGCTATCTTTCCAAGTATTGTGCTCTTTGCATTTATTTTCTAGTACATTCCAAAAGGGTATGGCAAGTGAAAACACATCCCTCCTGCAAATCATTTGCATCTTGTTCTGCAGATGGCACCATTCAAATTACCAACATAGACGCTAGCGAATCTTTTTCGCTGGAAGAAGTTTCCAAAAAATCTGTTAGATCGATTTCTTATTCGCACGATGGCCGTCTTTTTGCAGCTTGTGGGTTTGACGGGACTACAAAAATTTGGAATACCTCATCTGCCCCATCTAGCGCCTCTGCCTCGTCTACCCCATCTGTTTCCTCCTATTTCCTAATTTGCACTCTGGAGGGGCATGAAAACGAGGTTAAATGCGTTGATTGGGCTCCGGTTTCCTTAATTTCTTCAGCCACATATCTTTTAGCAACTTGTGGCAGGGATAAAAGTATCTGGCTCTGGGCAATTGAAGTTGATTCATTCTCATCATCATCGCAAGAGGTGCTTGCCATTCTGCAAGAACACACTCAAGATGTGAAATGCATTGCTTTTCACCCAGAATATCCAGTAAGCATGTGCCCCTCTTGATTGATAGGGAATCATGGCTTCTGCCTCTGCAGATGAGAGCATTCGGGTTTGGGTTGATTGCGACTCTGATGTCATCGGGCGTGGAGATGGCGACTGGGTCTCAAAGGCCCTTCTCACCGGCCATACTGGGATTGTATGGCAAGTTGCATGGTTGACATCCAATCTTCTGCTCTCTGCATCCGAGGATGGGACCGCAAGAATGTGGGGGCCTTCTTCGTCATCGCTTTTATCTTCATCCTGGAATTGCTTGCAACAGGTTAGCATATCGTCTCGCCCATGCTATTCACTTTGCTCAAAATTCGATTTTCAGGGCCGGCGACTGGTGATTGCCGTTGGCACGGGGGAAAATTCAATTGTGCTTTTCTCAGTTTCAATGGAAAACCCAAAATTCGAATTACACCCGATGGGGATAATATCATCCGCGCATACTCGGGATGTAAATTCGGTTGCGTGGGTTACTCCAGGTACACTGCTTTCTGCATCTGATGATGCTCTTGTAAAATTGTGGCAAATAGTAGGGTAGTAAATTAATTTTGTCGATAAAAAATTAAACTTAGGGTTAGAATTGCAAGACTGAAATTCTATTTTAATATTCTAAATGGTACGTTGCTCTGCTATACGCTAATTTTGTTCATATTTCATCCATTCTGCAGCATTGTTTGTGTTTCATCATATGTTTTCTTCTGTTCAAAAATTCCATGAACGGTTGAATTTTTCCAAATGGCTTGCATATCCTTCAAGCATGAATGTTTTGAACATCGTTCATCATTTAGGTGTTTACTCGCTTTGTCCAAGTTGGCCGTGTCGTTGTTCTCAAGGATGGACCAAAAGCCAATTCCCCAGCTGTAATTGTTGAGATTGTCGACCAAAATCGCGTCTTGATCGATGGACCACTCTCCGGTGTCCACCGTCAAGTTGTTTCTCTTCGCCACATCACACTTACAGGAATAGTTGCCAAGATCCCTCGAGCTGCCCGCACATCGAGCGTGAAGAAGGCACTTGAAAAGTCCAAGATAATGGAGACCTTCCAATCGACTTCTGTAGCAAAGAAGGCTGCTTTAAAGATGAGACGCTCCACCTTGACAGATTTTGAACGCTTTAAGGTTATGGTTCTCAAACATCAGGTTTGCTTTTTTGCTAATTTCATACAGAAACGCGCCATTCTTACTGGAGGAAATAAGCCCGTCTGCAAGAAATAAACATTTATATTTTATGCTCCAAATCATAGGATGTTTCCTGTTAACGCTCTTTATATAGGGCTTAAATTACGCCTAGCCGATTGGCGATGGCCTTGAATGTTTATTTCTTTTTTCCAGTAACGTTGAATTTGAAAAATATCACATCACCGTCATTAACGACATAATCCTTGCCTTTGACCATGTATTTACCGGCGGCCTTTACCGCAGCCTCTGTTCCACACTCGCGAAGGTCGTCAAATGCCATAACTTCTGCAGCAATAAATCCTCGCTCAAAATCGGTATGAATGACCCCTGCTGCCTGTGGGGCCTTAATTCCTTTCTACAAATTAGTAAACATAATTTCTGATACGCGAATGGTCCAGGCTTTCACTTCATCTTTACCAGACGTGAAATAATATTGCAACTGGAGTGCTTGGTATCCCAGTTTAATGATCTTTGGAAGGGTAGAATGGACTCCTTTCGGTAGTTCTTCTGGAGAACCCTCCAAAGCGGCGCTAAATGGAATAAGGGTGTCTCCTATGCCTTTGGCATCGATCCACTCCTTCATTTTGGGAAGCCATTTGTTCTTCTTTTTTATAAATTCATCAGGCGTCATATTCGCCAAATACACCATTGACTTGGCAGTCAATAGCTGCAGTGTGTTGATGATTTCAATCTAATCCGATAAGAAGCAGCATCCAACCTCCTTGTTATTCCAGGCGATTTCTCTTATGTCCTTTTGAGAGGTAACGGTTTCCAAAGCTTTTGCAATAGTATCACATTCCAGCTTTTTGATTTTATCCTGCTCATGCCCACGCAGATTTTTTTTTGCAATTTCCAACTGTTTTGTCAGAAACTCGACATCTTTCAAGCGAAGCTCGTCATGAATGATTTCCATGTCGCGGATTGGATTCACGTCTCCCTCAACATGTTCAATCGAATCATCAGCGAAGGTTCGAACCATATGAAATATGCCATCAACGGCTTTAATCTACTCAGTAAATTCTACCAGGATATACATGGCTCAGAAATGCATTTCCTAGGCCTTCGCCTTTGGAGGCACCTTTGACCAGTCCAGCAATATCAATGACAACCAAATAGGCCGGAATTTTAGATACAGGCTCGTATTTCTCACATAACCAATCAAAACGAGCATCTGGAACGGCAACTCTACGTAATAGAAAGAAAATAAAGACTTATTTTCTGATGGATTAATCGTGCAGAATGGGCGGTTTTCAGCAGGAACGGAGCTGCGAGTTAGCACATTGAAAAAAGTGCTCTTTCCCACGTTTGGAAGACCCACAATCCCCATCTTGAGGGTATTTGATGGGCGTCCCAGTAGAATGGTTGGCGTGTCTTTGATGTTTTTTTGAGACATTCGAGAAAACAGACCCTTGATGGTAAGCGAAAAGGAGAAAATTTTTCAAAAACGGGAGTAAATTTAAATTTATTGCATGCCAATTTCGTTTACAATGATGATTTCTTCATGCTCGTCAAGGCAATATAGGGGTGCATTGGCGTTCACGCAAGAATCGGGAACAATCGGGATGGCCTTGAGAAGCTGTGTCGCCCAATAGAACCCCTTTCTGTTCGCCATGGCTTCAACAAGAGCCGATTTTTGCTCCCCATCGACGATGATTTTGATGCGAGTACTTCCGTCGCCAAAGAACATGCTTGAGTGTCCAACATACGAGCCTGCCCGTATCTTCATTTTAGCTGGAGATCCTAGTAATTTTTGTGCCTTTTCGCTTGCCTGCAGATTAAATAATGTTTGTGACGCAAAAGACACATCTCCGGTGTCATCTCTCGTCAGAAACAAATAAAGCATTATTCCCCCGATGGAAAAGCCAGACGCAATGCCTATGCGGACGGATTTGTTTAGCCTGGAACTCGTGCCATTCTGCTCATAAAGCCACCATACAAGCCCTCGGCGCATGGGCCGAAAAAACCCGGCCACCGACATTGTGGGACCAAAAATTAGGAAAATTTAGGGGCGTATTTTTAATTGAACTAATGTGCGAAATTGAAACGACGCCTTTCAATGAAAATTAATAGCGCTGTCAAACAGGTTATCGTGGAAATGTTCATGGCTTTTGGCGACATATGTGACAAGTGTAAAATTATCAACACTTTTCGATCAACTTGAAAACGTACGCCTCTTTTCCCTATGCTTGGCGCTGATTTAAGTTGCCATAGCCCGTAAAATTTACGTGGCATTGTAAATAAAGACCCCAAGGGTTGGTGGCTTGATAAATGCATGTCACAACAAGTTTTAAAGCACTTTTAACTGCAAGAAAGATGTCCTCTTCATAGCCAGTTTGTCAATCCTACAAAATCCCTAATCTCTGGGTAGCTTTTTATACACATGTGGATAGTAAAGATGCTCTTGGATATGTTGAAAACATAGCAAATATTGTGATCCTATTTTCTGATATGGCTAAAGCAATAGTTTGAGAATGATTTCGAAGCCAATAGGGATGATGTTGCCCAAAATCTGGGTTACTATAGGCCTTGGATTGCCTTTATCCTAACATCAAATCCAGTCTATGGATGCTATTCAGGGCTAGGTTACGGTTATAAACAACTTATAAAACATTTTGCCATACGCAACATGATTTGCCTGCTTTTCCAAAGATCTGGCGCATTTTTAAGAATCTTGGATAAAAAGATTTTCCAGAATATCAAAAGCATCGGCCACAATATTGTCTGAAATTTGATACCGGCCCCCGATGGGGGGAGGGCAGGGGGAGGTTAGAACCAAAACTACTACAATTTTTGCTTGTTACAAACTTGAAAAGACAAAATTTCTAGAGAACCTTGAAAGTTTGGCAAGTTGTGTCCATATGGATGCCATCGGACGAACATGGAATCAGCTGATGACGCATATAGAGTAAAGAATCGGAAACAAAGAGTGTCATCGATGATCATATATGGAAATTTATGTAGCAAAAGAATCACAAGAACACTTTGTGGAATGAACCTTTTAGTCTATTAGGAACTTGAAAACGGATGATTTAATTGAACGCAGGCATTTTACATGGAATTTCGGATGTACAAAATTTACATTGGCAGCACATTGACCCTAGCCTCAATGGGGACCTATGATAAATAGACATATACATCCGTTCCATACGTCGTTTTTTGAGCAAGTGGCCTTTTTCAAGTTCCAAATAGACAAAAAGGTTC